ATGGAGCTGGAGGAGACATCAATCCCATCTTCCCTCTGTCTAAAGACAAAATCAGTAAAACCAGTCCCATGCAATAGTTATATTTGTCCTCTTCCACCACCAAGACATTGTTCATTTTATGAAATTTTAGTGTCAGTGGGTATATGCTTGGGTTTATAATGTCTAGTACGGCTCTTAGGGAAGCAAAGTCTGCAGCATCAACTTTCAAATAAATTACTATAGAACCCGGTTTGCAGCAGGTCTTTTTTTCATTGAAGAGTTGTACCTGAGAATACTAATAAGTAGTTTCCTTTCTGAATATAGAAATTTTTTTAGATTTTCAGGAATAATTTCTTTTCTGCTGCAGTGATATCTGAACTAGGGTATGAAGTCTAGCTATTTAAACAAATGTTATTATAGGATATGTTTTGTGGTATTTATTAAGACTGAAATAATTCCCTGTGAATTCAATTCATGCCTTAAGAAATTATAGTCCAGGTGGATTTGAGAACCGAGGTGAGCTATGTGCATATTTCCCCCTAGCTGAGCTTGGGCACAATCTGCCAGATATTCTTTCTATTTGGGAATGACATGGTCTACATGTTTTGCAGGAGATTACTTTGAAAATAAGCAAGATACCATGTTTCTAATTATCTAAGGGAAGAAAGAAAAAAAAAAGGAAAAAGGGTAACTGAACTGGTACCACCACCTTGCAACCTGTAAGCTATTTTCCATCAGTAAGTGGAAGGCCCAAATATATTTTAATCCTTCGAATTCTGTGGCCAGCCTTTGGGAAAAGTGTCTCAAAACAGTTCTTCTAAAGAAGTACACTGTTGTTCACATGAAGGTCCACAGCAATCCGAGAGAAGCACTGAATCAACAAAGCTGATAAAGAGACGATTATACTGTAGTCTTACTCTTCCCTTGATACTGTCAGTAATTTTCCTGTGTGCTATTAAAGATAGACTGCCTTGCTGCTGTTTCTGCTTTTGTCAGTGCCTTCATAACTGTATTTCCTCTACTTTTTTCTAGGCTGTCATTCTAGCAATTTAATATCTTGTAAAATAATATTTGTGCAATTTTCATTGTGGCTTGAAAATAGTCTGTTCACAGCTAATTGCTCAGCTGTTATCATCTAAGCATCTTTTGGGCTTTTTCTTACCTAGATTGTTGTATTATCTGCCTGTCTCTTTCCTCAGCAACCAACTTATAAACAATACCGTATAATTACTTCTTCTGAAAACCTATTATGCTATACATGACCTATATCTACAGCTAGGTCACATAACCCTAAAATTATTACATCTAAATCTCAGGTGTGCTCCAGGAAGAATTTCTCTGGCACATGGTAAAGGAGAACTAGTACTGTATTGGTATTCTTTGTTCCTTGGGTAGAGGGGTCCTAGAAGCTACTTTTTGAAGAATTCAATCCCATCAAGAACTGGTAGGCCAATACACCAATATGAAATCTAACTGAGGATTAAGGAACGACAGTGTACAGAGACATTGAAAAATCTCAACGCTTTCCCAGAACTGGCTTGCTTAATTAATAAGCAGACAGCTGGCAATAAAATATTTTTAGGCAAGAGGGTCTGGCTGAAGACCAGATTTCCAGAAGAGACAAAACAAATCAGGACTCACACCACTGGTAGAAAATGCTTCCAAGTCTTGTGAGATCTGGTTAAACTTTTTCATCATAGTATGAATGACATGTAGAGAGAATATTCTGCAAAGTCCACAGGAGACTTCATTAATGCTAGCCTGTTTCACCTAGAGGGCTCACGTGTGCCCCAGGAGTGCTAGAAGTAAAACATCCTCTTGTTCTAAGCTCTAGCATTAGTAAAGTGTGCTTTTCTCTCTATAGGTAGACACATTTGGGGTTTTTAGGTTAGTAATTTACATTTGTTGGGATAGAATGCACTACCTTGCATTCAAACTTTGTGTTTCTATAAATGAAACAATGAAGGCAAAAGTAAGGATTAATTTATTAGAAAATGCCTCATTCAAGAAGTTGATATCTTTCTTTGCAGTTATACAGAGAAAAATTGTAGTTCCTATTCTGGTTTGCCTTTCTGCTCTTGTATAGGGTTTGTGTGGAAAGGTTTTGGTAGTTGGAGGGCTATAGGGGTGGCTTCTGTGAGAAGCTGCTAGAAGCTTTCCCTGTGTCCACTGCTGGCGAAGGCCAAGCCAATCAGTGACGGTGGTAGCGTCTCTGTGATAACACATTTCAGAAGGGAAAAAAACCTGCTGAGGAACTGCAGCCAGAGAGAGAAGAGAAGTGAGAGGATGTGAGAGAAAACAGCCCTGCAGACACCAAGGTCAGTGCAGAAGGAGGGGGAGAAAGTGCTCCAAGCACCGGAGCAGATTCCCCTGCACCCCATGGTGAAGACCATGATGAGGCAGGCTGTCCCCCTGCACCCCATGGAGATCCGTGGTGGAGGAGATATCCACCTGCAGCTTGGGGAGGACTCCACACTGGAGCGGGTGGATGCCCAAAGGAGGCTGTGACCCCGTGGGAAGACTGCGCTGGATCAGGTTCCTGGCAAGACCTGCAGACCTGTCCAGAGAGGACCTCACACTGGAGCAGGTTTTCTGGCAGGGCTTGTGACTCCATGGGAGACCCACGCTGGAGCAGTCTGTTCCTGAAGGACTGCACCATGTGGAAAGGACTGACCCATGCTGGAGCAGCTTGTGAAGAACTGCAGCCCGTGGGAAGGACTCACGTTGGAGAGGTTCATGGAGGACTGTCTCCTGCGGGAGGGACCCCATAATAGGGCAGGGGAAGAGTATGAGGAGTCCTCCCCCTGAGGAGGAAGGAGCAGCAGAGAAAGCATGTGATGAACTGACTGTAATCCCCATTCCTGGTCGCCCGTGCCACTCAGCAGGGAGGAGGTAGAGAATTCGGGAGTAAAGTTAAGCCCAGGAAAACGGGAGGGAAGGGGGGAAGGTGTTTCAAGATTCAGGGGTTCTTTTATTCTATCCTACTCTGATTTGACTGGTAAGAAATTAAACTAATTTCACCAAGTTGAGTCTGGTTTTGCCTATGATGGTAACTGTTGAATGACCTCTCCCTGTCCTTATCTCGACCCATGAGCCTTTCGATATATTTTTCTCTCCCCTGTTCTGTTGAAGAGGGGAGTGATAGAGCAACTTTGGTGGGCACCTGGCATCCAGACAGGGTCAACCCATCACAGCACTCCACCAAGATGGAAGACTCTGAGGTCATGTTTATTTTCAGCACAGTTCACACAGTTACTAGACATGGGATCCCAATGACAAACCTCACCCTTAGTCCTCATGTTCCCTAATACAGAATTATGACTGGAGTTAAAGACGCATGGCTGTTGAAACCTTCAGTACTGGTCTCATATTCCTTCAAATACTTAGAACGTATATGTGTGTGTGCTTTTTTGAGAATTTCTGTAGCTTTACAGAGATGCAATGAAATGAAAAAAATATTCCATTTTAACTCATGCTGTTCATCCCTCCTGCAGTTTGTTTACTTTAGTTTATTTCATGCTCTTGGAGCAGGAAACTTCTAGTTTTCCAAAGTTATTGCCTGTGTTCCACTTCACACTAAGGGCCCCATTCTGGTTTGACTGAAACAAGCATAAAAATACTAGACTGAATTTGGGTAGGTAGGTGTATTGATCTTTTCTTTTAGTGTCTTTTCCTATTTATTAACATATGAAACACCAGCTGTATATTCAATCTAAGTACATTGTTATGCACTGAAATCGAGTTTTGTTCTGTAGGTTTATTATAACATCTTTTAATTCTGTATGGTATGCATAGAAAATTTGAAGATTACTTGACCCTTGACCGATACGGTGCTGCTTTTTATACTGACAAGTAAAGAATTTTGTTTCCTTCCTCTCATTTTGCATAGCAAGGATCCAGGACATATGCTTGAAATGCCATGCAGACAAAAAAATCTCTGTCAAACTTGAGATTAAACACTTTTTCTATTGATTACTAGATTTGGCAGCTACCCATGCAACTAGTTGAAGACAATATGGACTGCCAGTTAGATATCTAAGATAACAGTTATGGATTTGGTTTTTGTTGTTTGGTTTTTTTTTTTTAAATTAGGTGTATTTTTTTCATTTAAAGAAGTAAAATACCAAGTACCATCTGCATACAAGCACCAGCCCATCATTAACTTACAAATATACCAATAGGGAAAACCCAAAACATAACGAGGAGGTGTTCTCACAATCTGTGAAGAAAAACTGTCTTCTTGTCACAATAGAATTTGCAATACATTTCAAAGAAAGTCTGAGTGTTTCACATAGGGATACAAAATAATCTCTAATTAGAGATTCAAAGTCTAGTATGATATTTCATTCTTAAGTCAGATCTCATAAACAAGTAGTGCATCATATGTTTAATGACACTAATTCATTCTCCTCTCTTATAAACCATCTTCAGAAATACAGGCAAATGAACGTATTCAAAGGAAAAATGAAAATACTACAGAACGCCTTCAGATTCCTCAGAAGTAGGCCAGGGCTTTAGATTTCAGGGCTAGTTTTAAGTTTGCAGAACATTTCCAGTTCAAGTATACATTGCCCGGGAAGCCTATTTCTAGAGAAAGCTGAACTGGAAATTCACTTCATGGAATACATTTTTCTCAGAAAAATCCAAGAAATGGGAAAGTGATTCCTAAAATATAGCAAGGAGATGAATGCTTTTCCTATTCACTTACTCTTTGTATGAAGAGAGAAGTAATGAGAAAGAGCAATAGGGGGCTGGGGGAAGAGAAGGGTAACAGAAGACTTCTGTCAGGTAGACAAAAATTAATGAAAGAATCATCAGCTGTACTGTATAATTTCTTGCAAGTAGTTGCCAATGACTTAAATCAGTAACACTGCAATGTAATCCAATAACTGTGTAATATTTCCTTCCCAACTTGCCTTTTTCTTCCCCCAACTAGAAAACATGTCTTTTCTTGTGAAAAAATACTGTCTTGAGTAATAGTATATGAAGTTAATAATGCTCTTTATTCTGCCGCTCTACAGGGTTTCCTGTACAGATGAACGACTCAGATCACTCGCTATTTCAGCATTCATTTCAAGGATGCATGCAGTTTATTCACGTGGATGATCAGCTGGTGGATTTGCATGCAGTGGAGCAAGGCCATCTGGGAAGCTTTGCCAATGTCACCATTGACATGTGTGCCATTATTGACAGGTAAGTTGCAGAGGCATCACTGATACTCTCATACACTGATACATGTCCTGCATATTCTGAAAATATACAGTGAGACTGAAAAGGCAGTTCTGACACTGCCAGTGATCACGTCAAGGCAGTCCTGCTATTTTAGCAGTGCTTAGATGATGGAGATGATGGCGTTAAGTTGCAGATTGTGCAGGGTGCAGTGGAAAGCACATCTCCAATCTCAGAGGAGGAGGTGAAAAGCTCTTTTAAGTCAAATTCAGCCCACGGGTCAATAATAAGGCTGCCTTGAATAGACGGATTAGTTTCCACAGGCTGAGTCACTCTGGATATCATCAGCAAAGATCATCATAGTTATGGTAAAGAAATGCATGTGCTTTTAATTTCCTACTGTAAGTTTAGAGAGTCTCAAGGAGATAAATGCTACTGTGAAAAAAATGAAATATGTCATACTGCTTTGGTCTCACAAAAATGCCTTCTCTTCCTGAAATGTAGTCATCAGTTTGACCTGAACAAGTTGTGGTGGGTTGGCCATGGCCAGTAACCAAACACCTGCCCTACATTTTGCTCGCTCCTCTCTGCCAGGAGGTGGGGAGAAAAACAGAAGGAAGGTGAATAGATTCATAGATTAAGATGGTAGTTTAATAAGAATGGTGGTTTAATAAGAAAAGCAAAAGCTGCACATAACCCTAAATAGCTCCCCTTCCTCCTCCATTTCTGGAGTTTTTATTGCCGAGCGTGATATTGTACAATATAGGATACGCCTATGGTCAGTTTGGGTCAGCTGTCCCAGCTGTGTCCCCTCCTAACCTCTTGCCCACCCCCATCCTCCGGGGCGTTATGGGGGAGGGTGTGGAGAGAAAGCCTTGATGCTGTGCAAGCCCTGTTCAGCAGCAGCCAAACCAGTGGTCTGTTACCAACACTGGTTTAGCAACAACTATGAAGCACAACACCATATGGGCTGCTACGAAGAAGGTTAACTTAGTACCTTCATCCCAGTCAGACCCAGTACACCATTTCAATAATGTCAGTGTTAAGGAGCATGCTTTGTGGCGTACCAGTACGTTGTTCTGGCATGTCAGGCCACTTTAGGTTGCTGATTCTCTTGGACCTGTTAAGGGTTGAAGTCAGTGAAAAAAAGTGAAGAGCTGCTGTCATAGGGAAGAAGTTTGTTCCACCTCCTCACATACAACTGAAATTAGAAAGGCCTCCTGTGGTTACTGTTTGGTAGTTTGAATTGCTTATTTTTATTTTGAATATTTGTTTTTGGAAATGTAAACTGACTTGGAAGAAAGGATGTGAAGATACATCTAATTAAGTCTCTGCTTTTTCCCCAGTGGGTAAGTCTAAGCTTACGTGACAGTCTGTATTGATCCCACTTATGCCAGGACCTATTAGAAATAATACCGTCATCATACTGAAGTTAATCAGAATTAGGCTTTTGCAAGGTATTACAATGTAATTACAATTAACTTACAATATAAGTTAATTAGAATCAGAGCTTTACATGCGTTTTGGAAAACTAAGACTTAAAGCTTCCTATATGTTGAGCAGCTTACTTTTGAAGTGAGCTTCAAAAGATATTTCGTATATTATAATACAATGCCATATGCCATACTTGTGATTATATGAAATACCTTTTGCTATATTAAATATTGTTGTGCTTTATATATTCAACATGTATGATATATTTATTTTATATAGTTTATATATAAAAACCTTTTGTATTTATAATATATTTTAATATAAATAACAGTGGTTTATATTATATATGTTTATGTATATATGTTCTCTCTATGTAAGAAAATGTATTCTCTGTATCTCTCTTCTGCCACTTTGGACCCCGGTATCATCCCCATTATATAAATTAAAACTATATGTCTTATCTTTATGCTTTCTAAGCACTAGAAGATTGTTTTGCAAGCAGAGTAACAATCGCATAATCACAGGAAAAGAGAATAGTATCCAAAGAGTTTTCTTAGCATTGGTTTTCGTTTTTTTAAAGATTGAGATGTAATCTAGTTTGTTGTTTTCCCATGATCAAGTTTATTTCTTTTTTGTTTGCACTTTAAAACAAACTCTTTGGCTAAGAAGCAATAATGCCAAGCTTTAGATCTGACTGGATTTTCATGGCTGTCTTATTAACATCTGCAAATAAGAGTTTACAAGCACTTCTGTTACAATATGCCACTATATATAACATTTTTATATGTGGCTTTCTTTTAAAGGACCCAAGTACCATGTGCTATATATTAGCTTAATTTCATTTCACTTGAAACGGGAAGATACTTGTGGCTGTGATACTGGGATGCTTCTGCTTTTTTAAACTTTTTTTGCTCTGAATCATAAAGGTTTTGGTCACCATCAGCAGGGAAATTGCTTTCATAGCCACACTTCAGTGAAGACCCCCACTGGGTGAAACGATACACTGTCACATTGAATTATTCTTGATGCAGACTTTAGCCGTTTGGTTGAGTGAAAAAAATGTGAAGTTTTAAACGGTGACATTTTTAATCGCTAGCCAGCGCAGATAGTAAGGAGGGGACAGTTTTCTCTGTAAGGACGTGACAAAAAGTACTGAGGGTGGTGAGTTCTCATGTTACACCTGCCTGGAGGTAATTGCTTCCAAAGTCCCAGGTTCTGCCAAGCTAAACACCTGCCCAGTATGGAAAATATTTCTGCAATTTAGTTCCAGTATTTTTTTAAGGCATTAGAAGAGCCATGTTAGAGTATTACACTTGTACTTGGGAGATACAAGTGTCGAAGCAGTGTCTTTTTATTTTTAGTCTTCCCCTCCTCACATGATCATTTTGCTATTGCAAAGACTGCAAGCTGAGATCTTATTAAAAGAGAACACCAAAGCTAAGGCACATCGCCTTTTTTACCAGTGGCCAAATAGTATAAATGCACATAATTTCATGCAGGTGTATATATAGTAATTACAGGCAGTTAAAATGCTACTGAGAAAAAATAATGATCCCTGTTTCTGTATCTTAATTAACTTTAATTGTATTAGCAATGGAAGTTGCATTGTTGTCACAGTGATCAGCATGCTGTACTGGTTGTGACTGCACAGGTCCCTATACACCTCCTTTACTTATCATTAACAAACTAACTTGTTGTTACAGTCCAGATGGTACAGCTGTACTTTAGGATTTTAGCACAGGACATTGAACAGGAATTATTACTCACAACCAATTTATCCCAGTAGTCTCAGAAAATGCTAAAGCTTGCCTGACTTTATTGTGGCTAGAATTACAGATTTTAATCACGAAATCACAATGAGGAGATACTAAAATGATTCAAAATATAGTGTCCAATCTGTCGTTTTAGATTATGCAGAACATATGCCAATTTTAACAAAAATCTCTGTGTACCATAAGAGGTGAAATGACAGAAATGGGGAAAAAAACACAGTACCAAGAATTTTCATGTAGCTGCTTCTAATGTTTTATGAATGCATAAACTGTGTGATTCCCTCTGTAACACAGTGAAATGAATTAGATGTCAATTTTTGATAATAATTTTACATTAAAGAATTAATGTAAGTAATCAGATTCATGTGGCAGAACATTTCTGGGTGATTATTGCTCACCTGCTGTGGTGATACACTGTCTGACAGAGTGCCAGCATTCAGCTTTAATCCCATACAGCCACATTCTCTAGACTATGTGACTTCCAATCAGAATTTGAAATAATTAGTTTAAATAACAAAACACAGCAAGCATATTGGTGCATGAAAATGTCCACAATGTAGCTGGCAGCAAGACAGAATTATTTTATTTTTTTTTTTAATTAAAAACCATCATTGCAAATAGTCTTAAAATTCTTCACTTCTGGCTCTTTACACAGACTTTAGGCTTCTGGTTGTCCTCTCTCTTCTTCCCTTCCTTCTGCCAGTTCAGTGGTGAGGCAGACAGTGAGGAATAAGACATGCATCATCCTGTAGTACTCTGCATAAGAAGCAGAGGATACACCAATGCCCCAACTGGAAGAAAAACCTCCTTTACAGTTGAGTTGTTCCCAAGACAAATTCACAAAAAGGAAGTAAAATAGGACTAGGGAAGAGCTGAAACCATACCATGACCTGCAGATGTTCCTGGCCATATGGCTGGAAGCCACTTCCCACTTCCCTCCCCCCACTTTTCTTTGAAACCATAAAAATTTTTGATGTGGAAATGGAGATGAAAGCTGCCTTTCAACAAGAGAGATTCAAGTGCATTTACTTCATAATCCATCTCAGTCCAGAAAGGTGACATAGGTCGCAGTTCAGATGACAGCTGCAGTGATTTTAATACTGTGGCACTTGTCTCCTACGTACCAGAGTGTGACAACTGCCATATTACTTAACACAGTCCAAGAGACAGCTGGAAGGTTACAAATTCTACAGAGCTGGCCACAAAATAGGTATGGTTTAATTACCTTTCTCTTCATAGTATATCTTATTTTCCTGCAATAATTTTTTTTACTATGAAAAAAAATATCCATTCTCTCACATTGAAAGAAAGGGGGGAGAAAGACTGTAAAAATAGGGAAATGGGAGGCAAGACAAACACCAACAAATTGAATGGATTGGTTTTTTCCATGTGTTCACAAATTTTCTCCCTTGCATGCAGCTGGAAAAATTTGGATAACTTCCAAAACTTAACAAGGAGTGAGTCCAATGAGAATTAAAATATACGTTCTTTTAGAGATAAGTTACTTACGTAATAACAGTTGCTTGACTAGAAGATGTCTGTGCAGCATTTGGGTATCCTCAAGAAATTGGCTGGACCTTCCAGCTGTCATTATTTCAAAGGGAGCTCCCCAAGAGAGTAACACAAGTGCAATTTTTTTAAATAACCTTTTGGGCCCGCATGCTGGTCAAGTGAATTGTTATGAGCTGGTTTTATCACTTCAAAACAACCTTACTTACAGATTTCACGCATTTTGGTGACAATAACTGCATGAACTTTATTACAAACTTTCCTCAGAAAAGTATTTTACACTTGATTCTTCTTTATCTTACATCACCC